ATTATTGCTTAGTATTTTTGGGCAGGTCAGTTATATGGTACAACGTAATTCTTGAATTCCTTTTTTTTTTTTTTTTTTGATACCCAAGTATCCCAGTTTCGTCAAACTAAATCCCGGACCTCTAGCCACCGGCCCTTCAGATTCTTGAATTACTTCTTGTTAATTCGTCTTGTGGCCTATGCCTAAATTGTTGTGGTAAACTTGTCACGATTAGATGATATCAATTATCTTCAACATCTTTGAAGAGCATTAGAGCTTGTGAATATATATTTTATTCTTATTCCGTATGATATAGATTTTTTTGATAATAGACTTTGTGGAAGTGATTTATTAGAGAATGTGTGGTTAAGAATGAAGGAAAAATTATCTATTCACGTACAAATTAATTTAATTGAGAAAGTGTGTAACTGAAAATAAATTTGGAAAAAAATAATTTTAGAAAATATGAGTCAAACATAGTGTTAATGTATTCGTGAGAGGAGTTTAATATCGACCCATGCTTTGATTAATGTTTGTAAACTCAATTAAAATATTTTTTATTTACCCATATTATTGTATCCACAGATACTATTACTTATTCATCTATTATATTTATCTATTTATAATTTAAATAAATTATAAACAACTCCCAAATATACTTTTTTAGAGAGAGAATTCAGACTAGTTTATAATCGCCAGTAAAATGCTCGAACCTCATGTCTAATCGATGACAGGCTGCTTATACCTGCCTAGGTGGCTTCTTTCAATTTTTCATGTTTTTCATTTGTCTATGTTTGACTCATGTTTATAAAACCGTTTATAAATAAATACTCAAGTCATTTTTATCTATATGTTGAGGAATACGTAAATACTACTTATTTAATAATCACCATTTATAATTTTAAATATTTATAAACATTCCCTAACATGCTCGGTACAACTTAGAATCATTATAATTAGAAAATGAAATCCGTTCGTTATCTAAAAGAGATATGAAAGGTGAAAAAAAGTAGAGTATAAATATATGGCCATGTTTGACCCATATTATTTTAAAAAAGTACATTCTTAAAAAGTGATTTGACATCATTTCTACATACATTTTTCAATAAAATAACATTACAAGTAAATTCAAAACTTTTTCTTATATTTTATCTACATATTTTCCATCAATACACTATTAAAAAATATATTTTTATGAAAATAATGTGGCTCAAACAAGGGTTATATATATGTAACTGGGGCAGAAATAGGGGGTGGCCATGTGGGGTCACGTGTCCCCAACTTTCTATGTTTCTATGTTTTTATCTCAAATTTTGAAGTAATTATGATATGTCAAACGAATTCAAAATATTGCATTCTTAATATCATTTTAATGTGCTCAGCCCTAGTTTTTCACATTGTTAATGGCTCTCGAAATGGCCAATCGTAGCAAAAGTTATGGCTTGTTAAAGTAAGTCATTCTAAACTAGTATTTCAAAAATTTCGATGACATGCTAACTTAAAAAATTCTTCGATGATCATACATTTGCCGAATTTACAAATTACCTATGTCATCTCAAAACTCATTTCAAGAACTACATTATAGACATATTGAATGGTTCAAACAAATATCGAAACTAATTAAAAATGCGTCAAATGTGCGTTTTAAAATAGGTGTATAACTCGTATTTTCGTTAAAAAATTTCAATTATTATTATTATCTTGCAATACAAATTTTCAATATAATTTATATCATTCTATCAGGAAATCTTACATGGGATATGATATCATAAAATTTCGAAACTTTAAATGCGAAAAAGTCATACCCATGTAAATTCTTTGATGAAAAATTCCTCACAACTTTTTTGCAAGTTTGATTGTACCCCTAACTGAAAATGTCTACGTCCACCTCTGTATACGTAGAAACAAAGGTGTGAAAAAAAGCAAATTCTCATGCCTATCTCTCGATCTCAACATTGCAAATGAAAATCTCTACTGTATCACGTAAATAGTAATTACATGCCTCACCAAACCTACCACAACTCACTCACCCCTTGTAAGGAAAACATGAATTCCCCCGGAATACAAGAAAATAAAGATATTTACATCACCTATTTAACCTTAATCAACTTAAATACTGCTGCCAAACGTATAAAATCATGCAACATTTTAGAGTTGTAATGAACACATTCTTGATTTCAATCCAACTTCTCTCGTTGTTACATTTTGTGACAGCCAAGGAAACTTCGATAGTTGGACTCAAATCAAATGTCACAACTAATTCAACTTATTCGCCATGGCTCAGAGGAGTAAAGAATCAACGAGCAATTGGGTGTTGGAGACGGCCATGGATTTGCAACCAGGGCGAGTTTCCACCAAGAATCAGAAGGCTTTGTTGCAGAAATCGATGCGTGGACGTTACATCTGATGTTAACAACTGTGGATTATGTGGGATTAGGTGTCCATTCAATTGGCAATGCTGTCGAGGCCTATGCATAGACATAAATGTCAATCCATTCCATTGTGGGAGTTGTGAGCATAGATGTCGATTCCCTAGCCTTTGCTTCTTTGGTATGTGTGGTTATGCTCAACCATTGCCTCCTTTTCCATTTCCTCCGCATCCGCCTTTTCCTCCGAGACCACCATTTCCCCCGAGGCCTTTTCCTCCACGGCCCTTCCCCCCGAGGCCTTTTCCTCCGAGACCTTTTCCGCCAAAGCCCTTTCCTCCCAAGCCATATCCACCCAGGCCATGGCCTAAACCTCCAAGAGGCAGTCAGCCTCCACCAGTGGTTTGATGAACTGTACATTGACGCCATCCTCGTGTTCAAAATCATTATATTGCCTCTGTTCAACTTCCTTTTCCATTCAATAACCATCAGAGGAAAAAAATAAAAAAAAAATAAATAAATAAACAGTTAGGGTTATGAAAATTAGATAGCAGTGTCTATGTATTATTTACTTGCATGTTTTGTAACCATCTCGTTTATATATAGTACAATGTAATTTTATTTGCCCAATGGATCAAGACGAGATCCTTTAGCATCAATAAAGCTTCGCCCGCCTTCATTTATAAAAGTATCACATGTCATAATTTTGTTTAATAATAAATTTATGTTGCGATCATTTTTACGATCAACTTAACAATTCAATGAATCCATAGAGGCTTTATCTGATTACGTTTTATTAGTGTTCACATCACTTGATGACATGATATAGTGATAACGTTGAACACAACCAGAAAAAAAAAAAAAAAAAAAAAATATAATAATAATAATAATAATAAATCATAGTCTTAATTTTTAATGAAAACCTGGAAGTCCTCATAAACTTTATGTTTAAATCTCAAAAGATAATCACTAGACTATCAATATCATAAAAATACTTACCCATATTTGGTGTAGCTTAAAACAGATAAAAATTTAAAGTCAAAATCAACAATTAATTTTAATTATACATATTTTGGGATCAATAATTTTTATCAATTTTTTAAACCGCATATTTCATCTTGTTTTATCAAAATCTATTGAAAATCCAATTTTTAGCTACACCAAATAGGACAGACGTGTAATAAAATAAGTTCACCTAAAAATTTAATATGTATCCCACTAGTTGCTTGTTTGGATTTGCTTATAATAACATTGTAATTTGAATGTCAAAGTTAAAGTTCAATTTAATCATAAATTTCAAAGGATCGGCAATAACTATCCACTTATTTACTAATCATTTAAATCACATTATAATTCCAACGACTTATAAACAAATCCAAATAAGCAATAACATTATTTTAGACAAGTATTAGCTAGTTTTGAAAAGAAGCTAGCTACTGAATAAAACTTTACTCCACGATACGACCTACTTGTTTCGATTTCACTATAATTACTAGATATGTGATTGATATACCACCTAGCCTACTTTCACGTTAGCACTTATTTTATTATTTATGATTATCAATTACAAATTTAACAATTAAAGGCAGCCACAAACCTCAACTTTACTTTTTCTTGGGCATATTAGCCTTTTTGGTACAGATTTGGAATAAATCATCAATAAATGGTGCGAAGGAATGAAATAATTTTGCTTTAAAAAAATAAACACAGCCATTAACACAGTGACGGCCTACCAATGCAGTCATATGCTGACGTTATTGATTTGCAGGGCTTACGTAAGAACGAATCAAATCCACAAATGGGACATATGAAACTATGAAAGTGCCATTTGCATGGTCTCTACATTTCAAATAATTATACATTCTTCATAAATAATGCATAAAATAATTATAAAAATATTTTAGATAATATTTTACCTCCAAACTTGTAAGTGCTACAATATTCTTGAAAGCATTTGTTACAATATTCTTGATTGTATCATAAAACGTCGAAGATGTGACTTCACAAGCAATAATTAGAACAAGCTACAAATCAATCTCTTACTTGTGTTTGATTTGCGAATCAACTTTTTTTTTACTTTTCAGATTAATAATAGTTAATTTATACCATCTTTTCTAAGCACATCTCCACATAATTGAGTCGAATTTGTATTTTTATTAAAATCGACATATATTCAAAATTTTCATACTTGGATCATGGGTCTTACTTTTCGATATTAATCCAAATGACTTCATTGACAATTATAACAAGATATAAATCAGTTTTGCAAAAATATGACACAATAGTAACAAAATTTGAATTCAAGAATTAATTTATTTCAATAATTTTAAGACCAATTTTCTTAAAATATTAAATTTGCACGTGCCAAAATGTTTCAATGAAGTGCTACAATTAACAAATGACAGAATCAAATATGCAAAGTGGCAAAGAATTTTCTCAAAGCCACCACCTTGACTAGCTAGCCAGATGCACTGCATATAAATTTTGGTCTAAATGAGAATAATTTTCCACCATTCGATTATCCACGTGACAAAATTTGGACCCCTCGTTTTTTCCTAAACCAGGCACCCTTTTCGAACTTTTAAGACAATAAATTGTCATATCACCTATACGCTTAGCCAACATTCTTGAAAATTTCAAGATGGACGAGGAGCCTAGTAACAGAGGAAAAATCACTGAAAAGGATGCTGGAGAGATTAAGTACAGAGGTGTTCGGAAGCGGCCATGGGGAAAATACGCCGCAGAAATACGAGATTCATCCCGGCCGGGCGCTCGGGTTTGGCTGGGGACGTTTAACACAGTGGAGGAGGCGGCTAGAGCCCACGACAAGGCGGCTTACGCCATGAGAGGTCATTTGGCAATACTTAACTTCCCTGAAGAGTATAATTTGCCTAGCAGTTCATCACATTTTGCTTCTGCTTCGTCTTCGACTTCATCTTCAATGCAGGAAAGACAAGTGATCGAATTCGAATACTTGGACGACAGCTTACTGGAAGAACTTCTTGATTGTGATAAAAAAGAGAAGAAGTAAGATTTATATTGAAGTTAATTTTGTCTTCTACTTCTACTTCTACTTCTACTTCTCTACTTCATTTTCCTTTTCTATGTCATTTTCATTTTTCATGACATGTTTGGTAAGCTGAAATAGATAATAGACAATAAATAAGCTTATCTTGTACGCTTCGCTAGTTGGATTGCTGCCTTGATATATCATGAGCTTGTGAATGCAATATTTCTTAGAAAAAATTAACTGGGCTAAGTCCCTTTTCAAAGTTTTCTGCTACAAAAATCGAAAGAAAACGATTAAAATAACTTGTTTAACAAAATTTGAAGTATTGTTCTTTCTTAGAAGGTCAATTATGTTATCGTTATATCTTGGTCTTGTACCGATCGACTGAAAGTGAAGCGACGGTGGCTGCAATTAGGGTTGTAGAATGCAACAATGAGAGTCCTAATCGAGTTGTATAAAACTTCCTTTAGAGAAACTTTCGTTATGCGGAGTAATATTTGAGTCTAAATACAAGACTCGATTACAATCGAAAGATAAACAATTCTCTCTCTCTCTCTCTTTCAAATTATTCATATATCCAATTAGGGATCAAATATTTTCGTCACTGTTCACTGATATAGCTTTCACTTAGTGTAGTGAACATGAATTTGAGATCGATAAGACATCAAAATACATATATGCTAAAAAAAATTGTGTATCAATCATCACATAATGGCACTGCTATGTTAATAATATTCAAAAACCAGGATAAATATTAAAAAAAAAAATCGTATTTTTCTCAAACACAAGGCGTTGAAACCAAATTGAGTTCAGAAATTAAAACCGTATGGAAACCAAATTGTCTAATTTGAAGAGAATATATGTAATTTGATATATGGAAAGAGTTCGTGTGGAGATCATTCAAATCGCCTTAAAAGAAAATTGAAACAAACTGAAAAAAAAAAAAAAAAAAAAAAATCTTAAGAATAATATCGTGTCTTTCTAGTGCATAAAATATGTGCTGAAGATAAAATAAAATAATAAAATAAAAAAATTACCATCCCTTTAACAACTTAAAACTTCTACATAGTGACTATAGAGAACAAATTAACAAAAGCAACTCGTTAAAACCCCAACCATAACCTGTTTGTAAAATTTCATGTATGAAGCGCTCGATGAAGAAATTGATTAATCCTGCACGCTGGAGGAGGCACATAAAAGATACATTACTCTACGACAATATAGTTTCGTCCCTATAACATCTTAAACTTTTAGCTAGCGACTCTATATGGTAATCCAACATGTCCACCAGCTTCATTTATTAATTGAGCTATTCTTGGGTGACAACCCCTGGAAGTTCAAGGGCCTTTAGCTTTATTAATTTCCCTCTGAAGGCATTTGAATTTTATTAGGGGATCTTTCCCTTTAACATTAGCTGGTGATCAGCTCTACATTTCAGAGATTGTCCCAATCATCATTCTAAGGAAAAGTACAGAAGCATAATTCAAAATTATCACGAACTCCTCAATTTTAAAAACAGTTAAGAAAGAAAAAAAATGAGTAATGTTATTTGCAATCTCTCACTATCGTAATCGTCCTATGTAGTATACATATAACGATTAGTGATTTGATATATTAATGTGGTAGTTTTTTATTACCTCATGCAACAAATCACTAGTCACCACATGTATGCCACATAGGGCGATTGCGATAGTAAGCGATTGTAAATAGCATATTCATAAAAAAAATTAAATATTATTTCTTCTGCTGCTCTTCAGATGATTTAAGAAGTTCCTCCAACACACTATCATCAAGATATTCTAGTTCAATTTTCTCTTGTCCACTCATCGAAGGACCCGAAGTCGAAGTCGAAGTCGAAGTCGAAGTCGTAGTCGACGAGGATGAAGATGAGGACGACGAGGAAGATGAGGGATTTTGAAGAGGAGGGGTATTTGAGAGTTGGGGGAAGTACTCATTAGGGAAATTCAAGATTGCAAGGTGACCCCTTAATCTAAATGCAGCTCGGTCATAAGCCCTCGCCGCATCTTCCGCCGTATCAAATGTTCCAAGCCACAAGCGTGCTCCTTGCCTAGTGGAATCGCGTATCTCTGCCGCGTACTTCCCCCAAGGCCGTCTCCGAACACCGCGGTATCGAACTTCCTCCTTCTCCTTCTCTTCCGTTTCTTGCATGGCGCCCTTACCTCGAGAAGTCCCTTCCATTTTCTTGACGACAAAAAGTTTATATAATACTGATTTGGAGGCAAATAATTTGGTGAATTGACTGTTAAACAGGGTAATATTATGGACACAGACATATGTATAATATATATACAAGTTTGATAGTCGGTTGCATATGTATAGACTTGTAAATGTTTTTGGGCTTGCATGGAAGTTTCATATTCAAATATGTAAAAGAAATTGAATTTTTCTACTAATTCGAATGTGACAAATTGGCAATATTTTTAAAGACCGAAAACCATTTTGTTTCCCAGACGACGTATCCGAATAGTATGTGAACGTCTTCATTTGTATTAGGGAAAAAAATAGATTATTTCACTCCAGAAAACACCTACATGCACTAGTTAACTTTACGTGACCATTTAAGCCGATATGGGGCAATTATTTAGGAATAAGTGCTTGTTTAGTAGGGATTTTGATAATTGATTTTTTGACGTGAGTCCTATTTGTGAGAGAATAATTCAAAAATGACGGCTGTAATAGTAAAATAATAATAAAAAAATTGATTTTAATTGGCTTAAAATCTAAATCAAACAAGCCTAAGTATGTTTCACACTTTAGACCTGTATTCTTGTTTCAATTGTTGGATTTCATTTTTTTCCCCCCTGCAAATAAAATAGCAAGAATGATCTGATCACAGACTTCGTTCAATTTTCCAAATGGCTGTGACAAAAATCTGAGTTGGTCACTGAATTATGGGCCGGTTTTCAGTTTTACATTTGTTATGAAATCTTTTTGTGTGTAATACGGTAAGTGCGTGATCGTGAATAGGTAATAAAGTGAATTTTGAATCCAAATATCATACCAACAAAATTGTACTATTTAAGTTCGAATTAACTTAATCTTAATTGAAATTATTAAAATCAATGATAGTTCTAAAGCTAAATTTTAACTAACTAATGCACGAATTAATGCAACACCTCAATTAACTAAAATGCAAACTTGTGCTGAATGCAAGTGTGATGAACATATAATAATGAAAAATGTATTAGGATTTTGTATCCCTTTATAATAATCACCGTAAAACTCGAACATTTGAATTTGACAACATTATTTAATTATGAAAATCAATATTTCTAATTTGTTTAACAATCTTTCGAGTCGAATTAAACATATTCTTACATGTGACTCAATGATATATATCTCTATAGTGGATACGAATATTTAAGAATGCATTAAAGATTTGTGAATACTTAAAAATCACATAAAGTATAGCGACTTATCACTATTCTCTATAGAATTTTATGACAATTGACACAATGTATAACCTATTTTCATTCTCTCAAAGCAAAACAAGTCACAGCACTTATACGTCCATTGTGCATATAATTGTAGAGAAAAATAAACTCATATCAATTGTTCAAAATTAAAAACGTGCTTTGAATATCAAAATGAGACAAGGGTCAAAAAGTTAAAGAGTCATGATACAGATTTTATCGTAATCTTAGCACAAAAATAATCTACCCTAACCTGTTAATAGAAAGAAAACAAGATCAAGAAATAAAATCCATCCCCTTGTTTTTTTCCTCCTCTTTAATAAAAAATTGTCGAACTCCAACTAAAAGTTGATAACTTCTATTTATATTCCTCCAAAGAGTTGTAGAAATCACACCGTAAAAAGTTTTGTTGTTGGAGTGAAATTATGAAAAGGAAACAAAAGTTGGTATGCGATTAGCGTGGGTGATTGTGCCCAGGCTTATCATTTAGCCCTTGCTTTCATGTTTGATTTTTGGGCAGGCGCCTGGTGTAAAAGGCTGGGCTACTGCCTTGTATAATATGCCCCGTTTGGCTCCTATTCTTTTTAAATTATGGATGGAATAATATTTTTTGAAAAATATGTGGTTGAAAAAGAATGAAAAGTTTTTTATTTGTGTGTAATATTATTTTATGAAAGATTGTGTGGTTAAAAATAAGCGAAAGAAAAAGAATGAGAAGGGGAATGGGGCTAGAATATGCACTTTAGTCCTTGAATGCATTTTCTCCTGAACTTTGATACTCCACTATGAATTATGCCCATCTTGATCCCTCAACTTCTAAATATTTGCAAGTTAGACTCCATACTTTCCAAACAATTGCAAAGTCATCATTCTTTTTCAAGTGCTTTAGAAATCGGTCTAAATTTGAAGCAAAAGGAAAATCAACAATTTGACGATATAAATACTTAGTAAATATAGTCCGGATAAGTGTACAACACGCACTTATCAATATAAATATGTAAAATTGATTTTTTCAATAAATCGAATTCAAACAAGTACATAAATATACTATTGAAACGTGAGTTGATATAAGAAATCGTAATGTAGTCTCTCTATAAACTTCATTTTTTTAAAGGGAGTAATATAGATGAATAGAGTAGATAATGGAAATCATTCTACATGAACATTCAGGTTTACATATTGATATACATAATGATCAAGTGACAATGTGATAAGTGCATTTTGTGCACTCATTTGGACATATAACTAGACTTTTACGTCATCAAATATTCAAATTATTAATTTTTATCTAATTTGGATTAATTTTCTTTTGTTATTAATTATGAATCCGTTTGAAGCATTTTTGAAGGATAAATTGGCCATTGGATGAAAATTTCAAGACTAATATTAGCACTTTGAAAATTGAAGGGCCTAAATTGAATTGAAGAAGACATGGGCTCCACAATTGGATGACATCAAGGACTAAATCGCTTTTGGACTTTTACTTGGTATAAAAATATTTAAACAATAGGAGTTCTTTATTTATTCTTTTTTTTTTTTTTTTTTTTTTTTTTTTGTTTTTTTTTTTTTTTTTTTTTTTTTTTTTCGTTTTTGTGGGAGGCTGCCAGCTGAGGAGAAGAGTTATATATATATATATATATATATAGGGATGGCAGTGGGGGCGAGTTCGAGGCGCGTCGTCTCGTCTTGTCTTAGACGGTGCGGGGCAAAGCAGGGATGAGGCAACTTTTCGCCCAGTTTATTACCCCGTTTATTTTATTATTATTATTATTATTTACATTTTCAAAATTTCGAGCTATGCTAATATTAGGGAATAAAATACAAATTCAAAATGAATTTTTAACCAGTAAATTGTCTATAAATAAAATTATTTTCAAAATTTAATTTTTTTGCCCTTTTCCCAGGGTGGGGCCGGGCTGTGCCCCGTGACGGGGACCCCCATCAGCCCGCCCCCGGCTAACCTATCGGGACGGATTTTTTTGCTATCAGTACATATATAAATAGATATTACACACGCAGGTGGGGGAGGAAAAATACACGGCAAGACGGCGACTGGCTGGTGGGAAGAATAATTATTTATACAGCTTACAAGGCAACACAAAAATGGAGTTGGGCTGAAATTTTGAAGAAACTAAACACACAATTCGGCATATTGGAAAAAGAGAATTGATTATACATACAAACGGACAGAAGGCTGAAGCAGGCGGAAAAACAAAGTAAAAATAAAGAGAAAGACGGCGGCCAAATAAAATTGCCATAATTAATCACGTTTGGTCAATTTTTTATGATGTCCTATATCATTTCTTTGTTTAATTTCAACATATTGGTCGATTAAATTATTTTGTGCTAGGATTTGTAATGAACTTTATATTATGAACTTTAAACTTTTGAATTTTATTTATTTTGGCGTTAAAAAGTGTTTTTAATTATTGAATGATTAGCATAAATTTTATTTTCTCTACAGTTATATGTGTAATAGTTGTATGAGTTTTGTGACTTATTTTATTCTCGAGAGATGGAAAATAAGTTAGACATAGGTCAATTGTCGTAGGGTCCAAAGAAGATAGAAATATAGAACTATACTTTATGTGATTTTTAAGCATTTATAAATCAATTAATGCATTTTTATATGTTCGTATCCATTATAGAAATATAATCAGGTCATATGTAAAAATAGGTTAACTCTACTAAAGTGAAAATTTTAAATAGATTAGAAATATTGGTCATTATAATTAAATCGTGTTGTCAAATTTATAAAATTCGGGATAAAAGGGATTGATATAAGGGGATTCGGATCCAAGGAAGCTTTTCATCAGCATATTTTCTTAAAACTTGAATTTAATTTAGGTTTTGCGTTGATTTTAATTAATTTAGGTCTTGCATTCATCTATAATTTAACATGATTACAATTTAACTTTAGAAAAATCATAAATTTTTAGAGTTTCGATTAAGGTTAAGATAATTTGAATTTAAACTAGTACAATCTCTATAGGACGATGCTTGGACTCAAAATTCACTTTATTACTTGTTAACGAACCGTACACTTACGGTGATTTTAATTCAAAATAATATTTTCGTCAACACATTGAATCACCGGCTAGTGAAAAAAATGTATATTCCATTATGTATAGTTTTTTCCACCATCCAATGATTCAACGTCACTTGGACATTTTGTACACTATAGTGTGAACCATAATGTACCATGTAGTAAAATCCAATGGAATATACATTTTGCCATGTCAAGACATGAGGTGTATGATCAACTCCGAAGATTGCATGTAGGCTAATTTAGGGGCCGTTTTGGAGTGAACTTTCATTTCAAAAAATTGATTTTTTGACCATTATTTCACTATTTCAACTGTAAAGTTTAACTTTTTCTCTAATAGGTAGCCTTCACTTTTCTTCTAACGATAAAAAAATTAATTCTCAAAATTGCTCCCAAACGGGGCTTTAGTTGTCTCTTCGTCTTCTACCTATTTGAAAGGTGCAGCGTCAATGTGAGGTCAGGTGGGATGAACAAAACCTTTCTACTATAAAAATAAAATAATATGAAAAATTTGACACTTTTCACCGTCTGAGCTGTAAAAGAAGAAGAACAAAAAGAATTTAATTAGAAAAATGTTATCACTTTTCACCGTCTGAGCTGTAAAAGAAGAAGAACAAAAAGAATTTAATTAGAAAAATGCTATCTGGTGAAGCACATATCTTATGAGTCATATCGCGTGGGCTAGGACCCGTGATGAGAATTAACCTGCAAATTACATAAAGGTTGAATCTCAATTTTGAGGGCCTTCAACGTCC